ACGACAAGTGCCCGTTTTTTAATGTTCTTTATGCTAAATCGTACTGTAACTTCCGATGAGGAAGTAGTCGTGTTGACGGGGCCTAAAATGGAGCCACTAAATAGTTTTGATATAGTGTGTCTAAAAGAAATGTGACTATATTATAAAACGAGAGAAGATCTCAAAGCAGTACAGATATCACAATAGGATTTGTCAACTGTGCAGGGGTGGTTGTTTCTAGGATCTATAAATACATAGTCATAATATAAACGGATTTTGAGATGTTTACTTTTAATACCTATCCATTTGAGATACACACCCCATCTATAGATTTTGTTATCTGCATGATACATCCATCAGATATCATTCTCCAGGCAAGTCCGGCGGTATTGCGGGCATCATCCAGACCTGAAGAAAGACACACCCACAGTAACCTGACTTGCGTCATCGTTTTGCACAAATCTTTAAATTATAGAGATTCTTCTACTTTCGTTATGCGTATGGTTTTTGAATGCTAATTATGGAAAAGGGTGTAGAGATTCCTAATATTTATCTGAAACAGGATAAAATATCCAGAGGCCATCCACGACGCTCCCCCGAAACAAACACACTTGCCCCCCCTCCCCCTCCTGGGAAAAAACCTTTCTACAGTGTAATTCAGGGAGTAGCCCAGTGGGTCACCCCCCCCCCCCCGACTCTGCCCAAGATTTTGTCTCCACCAAGATCGAATGAAGCTATGTACAGTTTAAGCTCAAAAACTAAAAAAGACGCATTATCAAAGTCCTTGCTTCTTCGTTACAGGAAAAAGACGCGTACTTTAAACTTCATTTTTGCAAGTTAACCTAATGTAGATCGGGCTTTTGGTGAGAAATCAGGCGGTTTAGGTTCCTAATTATTTTATTCAGTCGTTCAAACTGATTGCTACAGTTCAGAACTGCACTTAAAACTACACAAAACAGCACATGTTATAATATCGGAACTTCGTGGGAGCTGGAGTTTTAGACCTATTTTAAATATTTTAGGCAATTCAACTACACTATTGTAGCTGCAGTGAAGTACATTTTACTCATACGATTGCGGATTTGTCTGCTTTTGGAATTGATCTTACAAATATGTAT